CTTCTTACTGCATAACTACCCTGTTCCGAAGACTCATCCACTATGTCTCTTCCCTCTGTTTCCTCCTAAAGCTAGTCCCTTCTTCTCTGAAGGTTATTTATACTTTTTATCCTGAGTCAAAACAGGATTTTTTTTTTTTATGGGAGAAAGCTTGCATATTGCTGCCTGCCAGATTTTGATACCTGTGTTTTACCTCACTTCTTTACGCTTCAATGCAAGCATGGACTGTGAACAGATTTGGGTGTTGCATTTAGCCAGAAAATCCACAAAAGCCCCGTGGTGGGAGACAGTAATGCCTGTTATGATTTAAAGCACCAAATACCTCTTGTTTCACTGCTGGTATAAGGACTGTTTCTGCCAAGAGCATCAAATCTTTCCACTGCTGCTGTGTTTGATACCTTCAGTGTTAATGTTTTCTCTGTTCCAGGGGTAGACACAGATGAGCTGGACAGCAATGTTGATGACTGGGAGGAGGAGACTGTTGAATTTTTTATCAATGAAGAAATTATTACCCTTGCAGAACCAGAGTAATTAATAAAACTGTGGTAAGATAGCATACCTCTCAGTAGAGAGAAACTTTTTCTGTCAGCTATTAGTATAGATTCAGTAATTTGCTTGAGAAAGTTCAGTCTGTTGCACAAGTGAATGTGTTGTTTTCTGAGTTGTTTTCTCTGTGGCTAGAGGGCACAAAAGCTTTTTTTTAAAAGTAATCGCAGATGGTCAGATTTGAGTTGTGCTGAGCGGAATACTGTGTATGTCCTGTCTTGGCAGAGTGATCAAACCTGCAGCAGAGTCAGGATCAATTTCTAAACACAGTGTACTGCAGACTCTGTAAGTTCTGTCAGTAGGAGGAATTGTAGTTAGTATGAGAGAGAAGTTTTGCCTTTTGGAAGAATTGCATATTAGTTCAAGACTGGACAGAGTTTAAATACTGTATTAAAAATTTTAAGGCAAGTTGACTGTGGGCTGATAAAACTTTGAGTAAATGTTTAAATATCTATAAGAACTCTACTATCACTTTCTAGAAATGTTTGGTAGAATTCAGGTAGTGACAGATTCTTACGTACCGACAGTCACTGCTTGTTGCTGAAATCTTTTATTTAATCCAGTGCTTTTCCCAGTTCCTTTTTGTGAACTCATATTATATATTTGTATGTTGAAAATAGAGGCTACTTTCAGCCCCTGTTGTAGGAAATGTCCTTTAGGGAGCCTGATGTTGTATTGAGGAAGGAAAAGGTATTTTGATAGTGAAGGCGCTCACATAGGACTTAAAACCTGGGATGGGTTCCTGCTCTGTCACGCATAGGACTTCACTTAAGGAAGAGGAAGGGGGAGAGTGGAAGTATGCCTTTTGCAGCTGTAAGTCACCCTACAGCTCTTCAGCATCCAGATACTAAGGAGTTCAAGTAAAATATGAGCAATACTCTTCTTTGACCTGTAGAAAAAATAATAGCCTTGATACCATTGAATATATTTGGATCTGGCTTATCTGTGACCCATACCTGGGAGATCCTTTTATGGAAGGAAGAGGGATAGAACCTAGTGTAATAATTCAAACAAACCAGTTTAAGAACAGGTGAAACACATGCTTGCGTAGGCTTTCACCAGCTAGCATCTGTGGTGAGGTTGAGCCCTTTGTATAAGGGCAGAGTAACTAACTCGCCTCTTTTTTCCTTTTCTGCAGCACCACCATATCTCGTGCTGAAAAGAAGATCGTTCATTTTCAGAAAGCCTACATCAACTTTGGAATTTTTAATCCATATTCTTGCACTCTGGAAGGGTGGATGCACCAGATTTTCTCCATTCTGACACATTGTAGTGCCTTTAAGTCTTGCTGCCTGCTGCAGTGACATTACTAGAAAGGCGCTGCTTTTAAATTTTTATTCTCCTTTTTTTTTAGGGTTTAATTCTTTTTTTTTTCCTTTTTAAATCCACTACTACCAGTATTTACTTCCTGACTCCCATGCAGTACTTACCAACTGGCAGTTTTTGACCATTGCCAGTGAGGTGAGATTCATAAGTGCACCTCTGTCTTACACACACGCACGATGTTTCTGTTTCAGGACTCTTTCTATGTCCCGAGTGCATGGACAGATGTTCATTTTGTTTGGGGAAAAGTCAACAGAACCATTTGTCGTATGATGTGTTTTAGTGTGCTGAAGCAGCACTACAGTGGGCTATATCCTCCTCCTTTCAGATTGCGAAAGGATGTCTCCCTCAGAGCTGAATATGGAAATAAAAGCAGACCTATACTAAAACCAGGTTGGCTACGCGTTGTTTGTAGGGAATCTTTCCCTGAATTATGAAAGTCAAACATACCCACAGTAATAAGAGTGTGTTTGCTACATTGACTACAGGGTTCCTTTGGATTTGTTTAAAATCTCAGTTCCTCATGGCTCTTCTGGTTTTGTGTTGGGGTTTGTTTTTTACAGTGATGGTACAGCTCATTACTCTGAAAAGTTGACCTGTTCACTATAGTGGGGTGACTTGAAAACAAGTGGATTTCTTAAACCATTTGCAAACTGATACTAGCCTCGGGAATTACTGGATTAGTCTAAGTCTTACTAGTGAACATTGCAAACTTTCAGAGAGGTGCTCTGTACGCACATGCCTTATGCTCCCTGTTACAGTACCTAGTTTAATTTCTAAAGCCCTCTGTGCTCAGAGGGGAAAAGTGTACTTAAAGCTGGTGGAGCAACTTCTCTGTATTTGTATTTATGAGTAGAAATTCTTTTCTGGATATTGTCAGAGCAGTGAGAGAGTTTGGCCTGCTGCTTGCCCTTTGAGAGGCAGAGGAGAATGAGGTTGTTCTTGTCCCCTCTCCTGGACTGACCGGTGAAATTGCTCATGTGAGTCCTGGTGACTGGCTCTTTTTAAACCCTGGGCTCCCTTCCACAGCAGTGCCTGACAGATCTGAAGTGCAGAGCAGAAAGTACACTTGGGGCAACAGGGAGCCTCACTCAGCTAAAGCAGCCACAGCACAGGAATATGTTTAGCACTTGCTTTTCTCTGTCGTTAGGGGAACTTGCTGTGATAGCAAATGCACTAACCCAACTCCCATGTTCTTTTTGCAAGGAAGACTTCAAAATAATTGTTCCATAATGATAGTATTAACTTATTTTCAATAGTTCACTCTTAAACCACTGGGTGTTGGTTTTGGGTTTTTTTTTTCCAGAAGTCTGTATTAGTTGCTGGCATATTATATTATAATATATTATTTACCCTTTAGTTGTGAAGAGCTGACCAACTATTTTCTAAGTTACAAATTGAATTGAAAGGGGTTTTTTTCCCTGTCTCCATGCAATGAAGTTTTAATAGGCAACTTGTTTTATTTCTGGCAGTTTACAAAGAGATGTAATGCCGATATTAAATGACTTGAGTTCTCTTCTAAGATGCTTCTCTTGAAATACGGATCATCAGTGAGGAAAAACAACAACAACAAACCCCAAAAAAACACCCAAAACTTGATGCTCCTGTAGGAGCTTTGGAAGCTGACAAGATACTGTCCTGACCAGCAGTCGAGGCCTTTTCTCATCTGTAATGCTGGTATTTCTGACCCTGCTCCCTTCAATTCTGTGTCTTTTCTGTAGCGTTTCTTACTTCAAATGCTTTTTGCAAGTTATATGCTACTGAAACTGTTTTATGGGTATATTTGATAGACTAGTCTATCTGGCATATCTTGGAACAACACTAGGAGTTGTAGTAGGGAGGAAGGATCTTGTTGGATCAAATCCATGCTGATATGTGCTGGTCTTCCGTCTGTGGCCCTTAGAGGGGCTTCAGGAGGATGGTCAAAACAGAAGCAGGTTTGTAGGGACTGCATGGAGATATGTATGGGTGGGGAACAGCTTCCAACAGCAGCTGTGCCTCTACTCGGTGCCTTCAAGGGTCTGGAATTTGGGGAGGGAGGGAAATAAACCTTAAGCATTAAGTAGGATCGTATCTCTCACTGTGTTGTTAAAGTATTGTCTTAAAAGTATTTTTAATGATTGTTCTTGAATAACAAGATTAACTGGAACAATTCATATAATCCTGGGCTAGTCTTTACAGTCTTTATTTTGAATTTGTAATAAATATTCTTGTGACCTTTTAACCACCTACAGTTCTTAATGGAATCCTCATAGATTTTGTTCACTTGTTATATTAAGTTTTAACTTCTTTAAAACTTCTTAAATTCTACTATTTTTTAATAAGACCTTACTGTAACTGTTATGAGCCTTGACTCATTTACTGTCAATAAATAATAAAGACAAAAGATGATCTTGTTTTGGTTTTTTTAATAGGTTGTTGTATTATGAATCGACTGACACTAAAAATAATGAAGGATTGCCTTCCTGAATGTGGGAGTTACGAAATGCTACCGTGCATGGAGTGACAATACGATGGAAGCTGCACTTGGCTCAGGGAGGTACCAAACTGTTTTCTGATGGCCTCAAGGGCTATTGGCAGGTCTTGTGCAAGACTGGAGGGGCCAGGGTGCGTCTTGCTCAGCTTTTGGTGGAGCATGGGCCCCTGCACCTGGTTGTGCTGCGTGTTTGATCCTAGGGGAAGGAGAGGAGGAGAAATCTGGCATCCTAGAGGGCAGAAAATGAAGCCAGTGGCCTGCTCACCAAGGGGGTGTGCAGCTGGATTTGCACATACAGAACTAATTTGGACATTTTAGGTGGGTCATTTTGCTTGTCACATCCCCAAACGAGCCAGTGCCACTCCCAGTTCCTGATGACTTTCACTGTATTCTGTGCAAGGTGCAGTGGTGGCTTCCTGCAGCCTGTTCCTGCCCTGGGGCTCAGGATCTCACTGCTGCCTCTCCTGCTGTCTCTGCAGTCATCTCCCACCTGGGAGAGCGGTGGAGGTGTTGCCTCTCTCCCTTCCCTGGGGCGATCGCTGCTGCCTCTGAACCAGTCTCCTGCTTTTGCAGCCTCCTGAAGGGCTCTGACTTGATGTGTGCCTCCCCGGGCAAATCACCTGGCCCTCAGCTGGCATCATCTCGCAGCTCGGCCATGAAGGAGCAGCAGCTTACGGTGAGTCCACTGCCTGGGAGAGGACATGGGATGGGGAGAAGCAGCCGGGTTGTACCCAGCCCCAGTAGCCTTCCTGTCATGTTTCCCAGCTGTCGTCTGGTGTTCCTGTGCTCTGTGATCCAGCCAGAGGAAAAACAACCAGAATTGCTCTCTGTGCACAAAGCTCTGCGTGATTTAAAAGCAAAAGTTGGGTTTAAGTATCCTGCAGAGGAGAAAAATGTGTAGTAGAGGAGGTGAGGCTGGGTAACCTGGCAGGTGGTGGTTAGCCCTCCTTGGGCAGTGATTTTCAGTGTGCCTGTCTCTTTGGGATCTGAGTGACAGATTTGTAATAAGCAGCCAAAAGTGGCTGGGATTATTGTCCTGTCAGAGTCCTCACCATTGCTGCGGGACCTCGGCATCTCTCTGTGTTGATCAGAGTAAGAGTGCTTTGAAAATGTAATCCTTTCCCAAGTTTCAACCTTCAACCCTGTGGCACTCAGTTAAGCTGAAGCATTACTCTTGCAATGTGTTGAAATATGACTGGGGCAGACGTGGAAACCTCTGCTCAAAGTAGAAGCACTTAAAATAAAGTCAATAATATCTAGAATACCTTGCATTCCTCTCTAATGCCAGGAAAAGCCTTAGTACTCGGTGTGACCCGTCTCCACATGCTGCTTATTTGGTTTGTTTTCTTACCCTCAGTGGCCAGGGCTACCAGATACAGTGATTGACCAGACTATTCTGGAGGTTAAGGTTGCCCAAGAGAGACTTGCACTATCTTCTACTCCTCCTGCAGGACTGGGGATTATGGTGGGCAAGATAATACTTTCAAATGCTTCTAAGAGATGAGTTCAGCCCATGGGAATGAGATGCTCATAATAGTGTCACTCAGACGTGTTTAGGGAGATGATGAAGCTAAGTTAAATATTAAAAGCTATCCAAAGCCAAGGAGCTCACCTTATACTCTGAGATGTCCACAGTGAAGAAATAAATGTTCCTTTGCTGTTGTTGGAAGTACTCAAAAATGGCTACTACAGTGCTTGAGACTGGGAGCTGTGCATGAAACCCTCATTAAACTGACACGTAGCTTGTTATTGTGGAAATAAATCTGGTTCCTATAGAAACTAGTTGCTTGTGACTAGTGGGGCTGCAGCGCAAGTCTGTTTCAATAATTGCACTCCCTCGTGATGAGGCATCATTTCTGTGCATTATACAGTGTTTTATCAGTATCAGCTCTCCTGTCAGGAGCTGCTAAGGGGATGCTGCTGTATTTTATGAAGGGGAAAACAGTCATGGAAAGGTGAAAATAGAATTTTTCAAATCTCTGTTATTAGCTGAGACCCCAAGGACAGCTTTTAGATGGGATTTCAAATAGACCCTCCACCAGGCACACAGGTTTGGGATTGTGCAACTCACCCGCAGCTGCAGAGTGAGGCAGGGCCAGAGCAGGACCCCAGCTTCAGGGGGCCTGATTAACCCCACAGCTGATCCGTGACACCACATTTTCTCTATTGCTTCACCTATAGATTAAACAGGCTGAACTATATGTGCTCTTGTCTATTATTAATGCTGACAAATACAGCCAGTGTGTTTTAAATCTTCGAGTCAAATTATCATCTGTGTTTCAAAACGGAGTACTGTGTTTCTGACTGATTGAGTTGTGGCACATGGCACTGGCAGTTAATTGCTACTTTATAATTGCTCCAGTCCTGCCGTGAATTCCAGCTTCAGAGGAACCCCGCGGGACCTGCACAGATCAGGGCCAGCTTGCTCTGATCTGGTTGAACAGGCTCATAATGATTGCTACCTGGGATTAGATGAAATGGGTACTTAGTGAAATGCAATTCCCTTTCTTTGTCACGGATAACTTTAATCAGTGTTTTGGGAACACCTGGGGAATCTGTGAGTGTGCTCAGCTCTATGGCTATTGGTACCACGGTCCCAGACCTCCAAAGGTTCCTGCTGGCTGCAGCAATGGCACAGCTGAGTTCATTCTGCCACCTTCTCTGTCAATCAGTTGGGGTCTTGCTGTGTTAGAGACAGAAACAGGGAAGAGGGAGGAAAAATTTGTCAAGATAAAAGTGCAAATCATGGGAGAATTAACTGGTTTAAACTTTATAAACTTCCTTAAACTCTCTAGGCCCTAAGCTTAAGCGTTTTTTAAGACCGATCAGCAGAAAAGATGCAGCAAGAAGCTGTAGGTACCGCTGGTGCTTGCGCAGAGCTGAGCCCTGTTGCAGGTAAGTCTGGGTGGCCTCAGCACACACAAGCCACAGCTGTGTGCTGTGTGTGCAGGTGGCCCTTCGCATCCGTCCCATCAACGAAGCAGAAGTGGAGGAGGGAGCTGCCCTCGTCGCCCGCAGCGTGGGTGAGCAGGTGAGCTGGGATTTGTGCCTGGGCTGCAGGACAGCCCCCGCGATGGGCACCGGGGAGTCTGCCGGGTACCACACGGACCACCACAAGATTCTGGCTCTTCTGGTTCGCATGCAAACACTCGCTTTCAGATCCTGTGTAACTCCCGGCCTTGCTGTGACGCAGCAGGGATGCAGCTTCCTGTGCAAATGGCACTTCTTTTCTCCAGTTCTGCATCTTTCACCTCTTGCTCCTCTTTCGAAGAGGCAGGGATTGCAGGAGGTCCCCACTTACCTTTTCTACATCGCTACATCTATTTACGTATCTTTATTGTGCCCTTGTTATTTACCTTCTTTTCCAACATAAATACCATTATTTCCTATCGTGCCTCAGCTGATCTGTCTCTGAACCCTTCCGAATGCACACTAATTCTGTATTATATCTTGTCTCCATGCAATAGTCAAATGATAGCAGCCTTCAGAAGCAAAGACAGCATGACTCTTCTTTTTGGATTATCTTACAAATGCCTTTTTTGTTTAGCACCTTACTGGTGAAACATACTTTTTTTTTTTTTCCCTTTTTCTTTTTTAAAGCAGCCATTAACCTCACAAGGATATCAGCTTTATTTTTATACAGCTTATTCAGACTTGCATCATTGCTGAGATCTGTTTTCTCTAATGGAAATCTGGGAAGGAAATGTGCATTACATTAGTCTGAGTAACTTCTATTTATGAGAATGAGTTTCTCTTAATAATGCAAATAACTGTAATTATGAAAGCAAATTAATTGACTGGGCAGTTGAAGTACTTAGATTTCTTGGTGTATTTTGATTTACATCATGTTCCCTGCTATTTTTACTCCCAGCCTAACTCATTTAGGACTGCTTCTGTCTGCTTATTAATCCTAACTCAAAATTGACTCTGTCAGCGTCTTGTTATGTTTTCATGCTTCCGTGCAACAGCAGATTTATGCTTTTAGAATACTGCTAGTTAGAAAAGGTGTTAGCCCCAGATTGAAAGAGAAGGACTCTTTTGGATGCGTGGATACGCTGTGAGCAACATTTGGATGTTACAAGGACTGAATAAAAGGGGACTGAGAGTGTTCCAGAGCAAACTTCTAAAGGAAGCATGCTGACCTCATTCTCCAAGCTCTGCTTTTGGCTGTCACGCTTGCATGTGCGCATGACTACGTGTCAGCCCATCTTTTGCAGGCAAATGCTGCCACCGAGGATAAACCAAGAGTTCTGTGCGGAGTTTGTTCCTGTGTTGCTTCAGGTTTTAAGGTCCTGAGCTGGACTAGTAAAAACTAAAGCTTTAAAAAAAAAAAAAAAAAAGTCATTCTGGTAATTGAAAACTTACAGATCAAAACTAGAGATACTCATGAGAATCTTGGAATTTAGCAGGAAATGCAAAAGAAAAAAGAAAAAAACAAGTCTTGACATTTCCTGAACGCCCATGGGCACTTGTCCTACATACTTGTGTCTCTCCCATGCCTGGCACACCAGTGCGGTTACTCTGTAGGTCAAGTGGTGGTTGATCTAAGCTCTAATTGCTTATCTAATGATCTGTTTACCTGAGAGAGAGTGAAAGTTCCTCTGGAGTAGGAGACACAGAATTCTCTGTCCCTTCCCTTGAGGTTTGAGCATCTCCTTACAAGCCATTTCAGTGGAGGAGAAAGAATACCATTCTCCACAGTAATTATATGCTGTGATAATTATGTACTAAAATAGATCCTAAGGGACTGAAAAGAAACAGAACCAGTTCTGTAACGTGCTGCAACTCCTCTCCCACCTTTGTTTCTTCCTTAAGAAAAGCCAGAAATGGAATGAAGTTTCTGTCCTTGAGCAATGCAGATATTTCTATCAGTCCTTCTGTAGGAAAGGCGTTGAAGATGACTTTGGGCACTTTTGCTCCCAAGGAACTTAATTTAGATTCTGTGTGAATCTTGGCTGAAAATTGAGGTAAGAGATCCTGTCCCCCTCCCGCTTGCATGGGGGTTGGTTGGGTGTCATGTCCCTGCAACCACCCTTACATTTCAGCGGCTATTTCACTGCACAATGGACCTTCAAAGCATTTTGCAGCAGCGACTAGTTCTCCAAATTACAGAAGTTGCAACATCGGTTGCAAAACAAAGCTTGTCAGCCTCAGTGTTGGGCACAGAAGTGTGTTTTCCATGCAAAGCTGTAGTGCAACATTCCTCGAGCCAAGAGATGCGATGGTGCTGCAAGAAATCCTGACAGGCTGGTAGCTGAACCCAGACATATCGGTTCTTCTTCTGACTTTATCTTATAACAGAGGGTGCTCCTGATGGATCCAACTGAAGATCGGGATGACATCTTGCGAGCTAACAGATCCCGAGAAAAAACATTTGTATTTGACATGGTTTTTGATCACAGAGCAACCCAGGTAACATCCTTCCCTTTTATTAACCAAAAGGCTTAACGTTAGAATTGTTTTCCCTGCTTAGATGAATGTTTTTGGTGGGTGAGTAGAACTGCACATCCCAGAGGCCATGTGTCCCCCAGATAAAAGGCGACGGTGCTGAAGGTGAGAGGACTGTGAGGGTTTTCCTTTTGCCAGAGACACGAGGAGACAGGGGTAATATTCAGTCTGCCTCTCCCTCCCGCATCGGGACTCCCCAGATGCAACGCACTTGAGCAGAGACGAGGAGCTTTGTCTCCCAAGGTCTCCGGTGAATGAGATCATTGTCACGTTGCTTGGCTCTGGTGCTCACACGCTTCTTCTCGGTGCCTCTCTTCTTGTACAGGCTCATGACGGGAGCTCTAGTGCCCTTGCTGAGCTGTGTTTTGCAGACAGATGTGAGGTGCAGGATGAGGATTTCATCAGCACCTGCATCTTGTGATCACCGTCATGTGACGGCAGCCTTGCTTCTCGCAAGCAGTTCAGTCATCTGTGTTCTCTTTCATGTGAAACTTCTGTCTAACGTCCTTGTATGCTACCTAAGACATTTCTGGAGGCCCAGTGGCACTTCTCAATAAAGGATAAGGTCAGGGAGAGAATTTACTCCCTTCTTCAGCAGACACAAAGGAAAAACAAAGCATTCCATGTTCAGAGTCCAAGAAAATAATCAAATTTAAGGACACTTATTTTAGTACGGTCCCGCATCTTGCCTGCCTTTAGAAAATTCAATAAACCTCTGTGCTTTTCTGCTCATTTTGATGATGTGTCAATATTCAAATGGTTCACACATTGTTCCAAAGCTCAGGAAATTTGTAAAACATAGTGAGAAAAATCATGGAGAATGCAATTAGGTATAGATTGTTTGGACAGCTGTTATGCCTGACCATAAATTTATGCTTTTTTTGACTGAATTAGGAGGAAGTATATGTGTCCACGACCAAAAAACTGATAGGAGGAGTCATTTCTGGTTACAATGCAACCATTTTTGCATACGGTCCAACAGGTAAAGTAGCCTCTGTAGCTGTAGTAGTCCAGATGAATAAACTGTACCTGTACAAATCAGAAATGAACTATAATGCCAATAATTGCTTATTGTGAGGACAAGACCAAAGCATTAAAATACCATTCTCACTCAGAAGCGTGGATCTTCCTTTAATGCTAAAGTAACAGCAAAGCTGCCCCGTTTGAGAAGTCGCTTAACTGGGGCAGAATTCAGTGGAGACAAATCTTCCCATTAAAGAGGAGGAGGAGATCAGGGAGACTGATCTTGGGAGAACAGATACAGCTGTGGAAAGCACCTATAGATGACAGACTACATGAAAATACATTCCTACCCTGGCTCTGAACACCTAGGTGGGCAGTTAACCTATCTATCCGCCCATCTGCGAGTCCTCTTCCTGCCCGTTTTGGGTGGTACGTGCCATGTCTTCCCTGCAGCAATCTCATTGTGGGGGGAGGAACTGGAGGAAATGAGGGGACGAAGGACAGAAATCAGTAGGAACCAAGCATTATTTGTTGTGGGAAATTTCTCACATGCAAGTTTGTCTTTGCTGCTCTTCTTTGTATCTTTAATAGGAGCAGGGAAAACCTACACAATGTTAGGGACAGACTGTGAACCAGGGATCTACATCCGCACTCTTGATGACCTCTTTAAGGCCCTTGAAGCTGCCACTGAGGAGATGGATTATAGAGTCTCCATGTCCTACCTGGAGGTGAAGTGTCTGTGTTCCCTGGATCCAGGCTCTGTGGGAATTCAGCAAGCCCCTGGGAGCAATGGGAAGTGGAGTGCCCAAGTCTGTCCATCACACAGTGCTCCCCTCGGGTTGTACAGCTCGAATCTCCCCTTCCTCCCTTCCACCCCAAAGAAACATAGGATCAACTCGACCCTCTTTGCAGATCTAAGGACCCAATGCTAGTATCACACCAACCCCTTGTTTCTTGCCCTCAGATCTATAACGAAGTGATCCGTGACCTCCTGAACCCATCCTCGGGGTTCTTAGACCTGAGAGAGGACTCCAGAGGCAGCATCCAGATAGCAGGAATTACAGAAGTCTCTACTACAAATGCTCAGGAGGTACCTGGGGCTACGGTCCGTGGTGAGGAGAAAGGGAGGAGGATTGTGCTCATATGCAACAATGCTTTAAAATTTCTTGATGCATTCCTATTGCCTGTGCCTTACTCGGCAGGAAGGACCTTGTGTAGCAGGACCTTGGTGGAACCAGATTAATGTGATGAACTGTATGGAAAGGGCTGATCATGGAGCCATGTGAGTGGCTAAAATCCCCAGCTAACCTTCTGCTAGCTCTGCTTCCCCAGGGCGTGTGCTGCTTTCCTGGAAGGACAAGAGTGCTTTGATTTGTGTACACATCTGTCAACAAACCACTCGGAGAGGGAGAAGAAATAACAAAAACTCCCTTGAGCTATACTGATGCGCACTTCTACATGTGCCTCGGACATGAGATAAACAGCCCTCCCAGGAAAACAGCCCCAAACCCAACAAACCTGCACTTGCAAGGTCACAAGCCAAAGGGAGGAGATCTGGGGAAAATCAACAGCAAAAACCCCGCTGGCGTGAGCGGGACCAGAGTTCGCCTGTGCCCTGGGTGAGGGGGTCAGCCTGCTGCTAGTCATGCCGTGGCTCGGGCAGAGCTGTACATCTCGGTGTGCTTTTCTGTCGTTTAGATCATGCAGCTGTTAACAAAAGGAAACAAGCAGCGCACCCAGGAACCCACTGCTGCCAACAAGACGTCCTCCCGCTCGCACGCAGTGCTGCAGGTGACGGTGATGCAGAAAAGCCAAAGGCAGGCAATCGGCGAGGAAATGAGAACTGGAAAGCTCTTCATGGTCGATTTGGCAGGGTCAGAGAGAGCAGCACAGGTATGGCTGGAGCTCGGCAGCTTTTGGTGGGACCAGGCTGGATTCCCTGGCCTGCCGTGTAGGTCTGCACGTGTGTTCTCAGCCCTGTGTGTTTCTCTGTTGCTCTAGAGCAGTAGTTTGTTCCTGAGACAGCCTAAAACCAGACTAAGTTTGATGGTGTTGGTGATATCTCTTATTAGACCAACTAGTATAATCAGAAAAACGTAAACCAGCTTTTGGGTACAGCACTTTCTCAGGTCTGAAAAAGCAGCAGAGAATTTCACAGCTATAGAGAAACGGAGGTCTGTTAGGGATCGGCTGGGCTGTCGGAGAGAAGGCTGGTACCAGTGGAATAGAGGGATGCTGGTGGGTGGACAACAAGGCAGCTGGCTCCTATGGGAAGGAGGAAATGCTGGAAGTCAGGGAGGTGATTTGAGGGAGAGTGATTTTATATACCCAGTGTTTCTACTGAGGCCAGGAATTCTGCAGTGATATAGTTATGCATCTTGATTTCTGAAATTATCTTTAGAAGATAATCAGTAATTCTCTTTTAAGAACCAAGAGGTCAGAGCCAGGTCATCTTTTCCAATAAACGTACTCCTACCAGCACCTCTGTGTCTCAGAGTGGGGTTTAACCCTACACTTCCAGCTTGGTTTTGCCAGAGGCATTGCTTTGGCATCTAAGCCTTGACCCCGGTGATGCCACACATCTTCCCCAGATGCAGACCCACCGTTCTGAACCATCCCCTCTCCCTCCTTCCCCTCCCAACAGACTCAGAACCGGGGCAAGAGGATGAAGGAAGGAGCCCACATCAACCACTCGCTGCTGGCTTTGGGCAACTGCATCAACGCTTTGAGCGAGAAGGGAGGGAGCCGGACCCAGTTTGTCAATTTTCGAGACAGCAAACTCACGCGCCTGCTGAAGGTACTGTACGCTATGGGTCAGCAAGGAGTTTGGTGTGTCCGCTGCTGGTATCGCTGCCCAGGTCAGCCAGGGCTTGAGAGCTGATCCTTGAATATCTCTGTGCATTGTCTTCATCCAGCTTGGAATGCTCCTCCAGGATCTTGCATGAGCTTTGCAATGCAATCAGGGCTTGACTCGGACAGTGCTGTCTCTACAATAAACATGTTGTCTTGTCAATCTGTGCTGTTAAGGAAGGACCTCCTATAGGGTTAAGGAAATCCTATAGAATTGGGTCATATGTCTCTAAGCTCGCAGGTCATAAGTGATTTTTTTTTTCTTTTTTAATGAACTTACTACTTTTGAATGTTTCATCCCATCTATGAGATTTGGCTGAAATTGGCCAATAAATTTGGATGTTTTGGGGACAGGAGAAAGAGTGACTAAGTGACTAAGAGCTGTCATAAGTTACCACTCCCTTAGGAAATCAGAAAGGTCGCAGGCAGGCTCTTTGCTACACTGGTTATTTTATGGATCCTTTACAATTTCATTTATGAACCTCACCTCAAGCCTCAGTGCTGAGCTACCGCTGTCGCTGCGTGACAGATGTGTTTTCTCGAGGAAGGCAGGGAAGAGAAGGGATGGAGCAAAAGGCAGGCTTCTGTTGTGAGCAGCGCTGTGAAGCTGCCAGCATATTTGTGGAAATTGTGATGATCTTGCAAAAATTCTTCTTTTGTAGGAAGTTAATGACTTACTGATTTTGCTGTTGATGGAGAGAGGGCCTAATGAATGGTCTTTTACCAGCAGTTCCTTCAGTCCTAATTGGGATTCTCCACCAGAATCTCAATGAACCGCAGGGGTGCCCAGCTGTGGTGGTTACCACTGAGCAGCAAGCCCCTGTCATGTGTCCATACTAACCACATCCATGTTGCATCCCTCTAGGACTCATTAGGGGGCAACAGCAGGACTGTTATGATCGCACACATCAGCCCAGCCAGCACCTCCTTTGAAGAATCTCGAATGACCTTGATCTATGCCTATCGAGCAAAAAACATCAAGACACAGGTAAATGAGCAAACAACTCACAAGGGGGTGGGGGGTAGAGATTAAAAGCTTGCAAAGCGGAAATAGAAGATGTAGTGGATGAAGGCAGAACAACCTTCAGGAGGGGGCAGTGCAGGATGGTATAGAAGCTCAGAGTGAGCGATAGAGGAGATGAAAAGCAGACGGAGGGAACAGTGGAAAGCAAATTGCATGGGTTGTGGATGAGAAGAGGAATATGAGGGTCAGAACAAGGGAGCAGAATAATGGAAAGGCAGAGGAGGATGTGCCTGCTATGGACCTGGGTGCAGAACATAAGGAATGATGGGTGGAAACTGGGCGGACAACGTATGGGCAATGTCCCAGTGGGGATGCTGGGCCTAGAAGAGGAACTGAGGGGCTGCAGAAAGGAGGAATAAAATGGAGAGGCTTGTGGGGTGAAGGAAGATGAACAATGATCTACAACAGGGTTTTTGCTCTTTGTGGATCTCTGTGTTTTCCCTGTGGACACAAGGTCCCTGGCTCTTCTCTGTTATCTTTCGGGAATTTCTCAGAATTAGGGAAAACCACTAATGTACAGTCTCCCCACTCATGAGGGCAAATTCTTCCCCACCACAGGATTCAGGGCCCCTCCAACCAAAAGCATAGCTTTGTTTGCAGCCATTGCACTAATAACGAACCGTGGGACAAATGCTCACGTATTCTGGCTTGCCAGGTAAAATGTAACCTGCAGAACGTCTCCTACCACATCAACCAATACACCAGCATCATTGCGGACCTCCGCAGGGAGATCGAGCGTCTGAAGGAGAGGGTCAAAAACCAGGAGAAGGAGAAGAGTACAGTCAGCACCAACCTCAGGGATCTGCAAGGTAGAGCCAGGAGCAAGAGAACTGTTCTGGGGTGTCGAGGGAAGGGAGCTGGGAGAGGAGCTTGGATGTGGATGTGTTGTGGTAGCACTTGGTGGACCTCCATGCAGACGTGGCGAGGGGAAGTTGGTTCAACAGTGCTTGTAAAGAGGCAGAGTGGAGAACACAGTCTGATGGGCAGAGGGGCAGGCAGGGGCACTGAAGCTGTTTTTCTGTGTGAGCCGGTCTCTGATGTGCTGTGTGATGCTGGACAACACGTTCAACCTTCTCAGCATCATCCCCAACATTAAAGTGTGTTAAATTTCACAAACTTGCCCTTAAAAAGAGCTTTGACATCAAGTAGTGGCATTTGCTGTGGGAAGCCCTGACTCTTACAGAGAGGTGACCGAGTTTGTAGCCTGCATCATCGCGGGCTTTGAGGCTGTGCCAGGACATGGAGCTCTGTTGTACGGTTCATTGCACTTAATAATAATAAAAAAAAAATAGAGAGGGGGGCAGGGCAAAGCTTTTAACGCATTGATTGTTCTGCCCTGGGGATTGTTCCTTTTGTCAGTGAATCTGGCAAGGAATGAAATAAAAATAGTCAAGTTCTCTACAGACAAGACACGAGGTATAATAGGCCTCTGCTACCAATATCCAAGGTCATTTCTAGATAACAAGCACAGAAAACAGATACCTTTTTCTTTTTGGCGGGTGGAAAGGGGCAAGAGATATCCCTGCAATGCAGTATCCTCTCAATTCTCACAAAAGCAGTAGCAATGAGGCCTATTTATTGCTAATAATACAACCATAAAGCTATATCAGATTTCTTAAGCACACAATTAACTTCAAGAGACTGCAGAATAAAGCAGAGTCCTATAAATGAATGCCTTGTAACACGCGGACTGAGTGGCTTGGTCCCAAAGTAGTCTTGTGAGGACTTGGCAGAAGTTTACCTGGCCTAACGTCAGATCAGCAATGTCATCTCCCGCAGCAGAGAGGCACCAAGGCTCTGAGGCACACAGTGGCCAAGCAATGAACGCCTTGCGTGTGCAGCTGATGGGGGCTTTCAGGGAGCAAATGGAGATGCGTCGCAGCCTGATGGAGCTGGAAAACACCAACATTGAGCTGCACGTTGATACCTGCAGGCACCTGCTAACAATCACAGAGTGAGTACCTCCTTAGCTTTCAGCACGACTTACAGGTGGACGTCCAAACTCACCATGAGAAATGCCAATATCCCATGGTCCCCCCAACAAAAATGGCAAAAGGATGACATCAAGTGCAGGTTTGAGATTTACCTATGTGATGAGGAAAAACTTGGGAAGGTGGTGGTCTGCAAAAGATACCCAGGGATTTAAGGCAGCTTAAATCCATGCGACTCTGAGCCTTAGATTAAGGCACTATATTTGCGATGAGTGATTTCTGCTATTGAGAAACACATCCCTAATCCTTCCTGGTGCTTGTAAAGAGACTGCAGCACTGCAGTGCAATTGCCTGATGTAGCTCCATAAGGCAATCAGCTACCTCTAGCACCAAGTTTAAACTGAAGACTAAAAGTATAGATGGTAGATACCTCACCTCTATTTGGACCTTATTCTGGACTTGTGTTATAATGGAAAAGCTGGATGGCAGTGCAGACTGGGATTGTTGGTCCTTCCATGGTGCAGTCACTCTGTGTTTGTGAAGTGTTTTCCATCTGGATGCACTGCATCCAGGCATGATTTCATGTCAGAGAAAGCAGCAGCATCCCTTTCTCCTGGATAAACTGTAAGAGTCAGTTCCTTCTCATTATTGCTAGTCACCCACCTAATGCCTCTGTAAATTTTATCGTCCCTTAGGATTTGGGTCACTTGTAGTTAAAACAGTCTTCAGGATACTAAAGATATTCAACAAGTACTTATGAATAAGCAACAATTTGTGTTGAGGTGGGGAAAAGCACTTTTCTCCTTGCCATGGAAAGATCCCATAGGAGGCCTGTCTTACAGACTTCTAAACGGGAGGAAGCTAATTGCACTCTTCTGCATGGTTTGTCTAGCTCCAGAGCAGCCTGGACTAATTAGTTCTGCTGCTGTCATGCAAGAAGAAGTTGGACAGATACAATGAAGGGCTATGCATGCATCGTTAGAGTTATGTCATCACGCCCCAGAAGTTCCTTTCTTGTTTGCTGGCAGCTGGGAGCGAAAGAAGGCTCAGGGTGCATGCAAGTATGACAAGCCAGCACAGGAGGAGAGAGATGAAAATGCAGAGGAAGAAGACAGGGAAGCGGGTATCACAGATTCACCTGAACCTCATGAAGTTACAGTAGCAAGAGAAGAGATCAACCTGCTGCTGGCAGAACAGCGCAAGACGGCAGCCCTGAAGGTGAGGAGGTGAAGGTGGCCTTACGGTCGCAGCTCTGCCCTCTGCCCAGTGAGTGCTGGGGGGCAGGATGGCAGCAGCGTGGGTTTGGGCTAGCACCACAGAAGCAGCGTGGCACCTGTATCGCCATGGGACTCCTAAATACTTTGGGCTGCCGGAGGAAGCACCATGGGAACGCTGATGTTTGCATCCTGCCTCTGTCGCTGCGTTTTTTTAGGGTGAGGGAAAATCACAAACCCGCTGTCTGGGCTTGCCCACCCAGAAGTAAGCTAATTCTTCCCATTTTCCCTTTCAGGGACATTTTGAGGGTTTGTCAGTCTGGTTGATCAATGTTTTGGTAATCACTTTTGGTGATTATTTTTTTGGTAGCTAACATTAAATGTTTGTGAGTTACTCTAGGCAATGACTGTGCATCTGGATATATCTGCCATGACGGAAACATGGTGGCTGCTGGTAGAACAAGCAAAATACTTTTTGTCAATGTTACTTTAATCTCAGTGTGAAGGACACAGCAGAGATTTGCTCAGATGCCTTTGTTATCCCAAGAAGCTGAACTGCCTTGACAACCCCCATCTATCTTTTTCAGATGGAGCTGGAGCAGCAATTGGCAAATGCCAAGGAAAAAGCTTCCCAGATGGAGGAGTTTTTCCCCAGACAAATCACCAGTGAGGATCAGCAGGAGGTGCTCAGGCTCCTCTGCAGAGCCCAGCAGCTTGAGCTTGGCAACACAGAACTGCAGGCAAATACGCTGTACAAGGACAATCTCTTGTGCCAGAAGGATTTTGTGATCCAGCGACTGCAGCAGCACATGCTACTCTGCGAAGAAATTATTCAGCAGCAGCAGATGCTGATAAAAGGTAAAGCAGCACCTTTGCTCCTGCTCTGCCATTATCTCTGAGCTTTGTTTTCTGATGCCAAACTGAGAAACAATCCACCCAGAAAACCTTGTCTTGGATGTCATGACTCCACAGTTCTCAGCTGTTTCCCTAGGAGTGATCCTTAACTCTTGCTCCTCATCTCTGCTCCAGCCCAGAACGTTCCTGTCCCAGAGACACTGGCGAGGTTACACCACCTGCACCTCTCTGAGATGGAGGAGAGGACACTGAACCGCCTGCTTCTGCTACATTCAATGATGTCCAGCATGCTCAGGGTAAGGCAGAGCAGACCCTTGTGCTGGAGAACCCATGCTGTCCCATGATCTTGTGTCATGGCCAGAGATTCATACACGTCCAAAACCTGGCTGGGTCCTGGGGTCAGTCAGGAGCTGTGCAGAGCTTTGTTTTATGAACATGTCTCTGCTCTCCTTCCCTTTGACTCAGAGAATTAATAAGGCTTTTTGAGACAGAAAAGGACTCAGACAGGGCTGTGCATGAGCCAGCATGTTCATCATCCTCCCCATTTCTGTTGCATTGGATTTGAGAGAGGTAACAGGCTTGGTGGCAAACAGAAAAGCAAAGGCTTAGATTACTACATATGCAACTCTCCGAGTGACTGCTAAAGGAGACTGTCTTATCGGCTCACTCATGGCACAGTTGTTACTGAGGTCCTCAGGGAAGATGCTGCTAGCCCCTCTGTCTTTGAAAAACTTGTGTGTGTTTTGAGACAGTAAGGGGCTGCCAGGAAATT